CGTAATCTGATGACTAGAGACAGTTGCCATTTTAACATTTTGCTAATGGGAATGACAAGGGAAAATAACTTTGGACGGGTGCTGTCACTAGACAGGTGACGTGATTTGAGGTGTAGGAAGGAGCAGGAAAAGCTCCTGAGAGGCTCTGAAGTATCCATCTGCCTCCTGGAAATAGTTCAATCTTGGTAACTTTATTTGCATTAAACTTGGCATTTTAGCAGTGATTCAATAGACGGGCATTAAGCAAAGTTAACCTAGCATTGCTATGACCATGACGATGGTTAACTATGGTTAAACTAGCATTTCATCTTCCACTTCTGTTCTTTGGCAAGAAAAATTGTCCTTTGTTGCTTAATTGTTCTTTGGCCTTATTATTGGTGATACCATTCTGAGAAGGGGAAAAAAACCAGCCTATGGTCAAAATTGGTAACATGAAAATCTTAGCCTCCTGCCTCAGCCTCAGTGGGTGGGATTACAGTTGCGCACCACCATACCTGGCCCCATTTGCACATTTTTTCAAAGGTTTTAACCTATTTTTATTCATTTAGATCTCTGTGTTCCACATCCAAGAGGTTAAGGGTTTGTGTATGTATTCTGTTACGAGAATGTAAATTGTGGCTCTAAATTATCAATAAGAAACAACACAGATTCCTAAGATAAGAAGGTTGGTTAAGTTATTTTGCTACAACCATATAATGTTTTGACTATGCAGCCATGTAATAAAGTACTATACAACCACTGGCATAACTTTGCAGAATTATATTTTAAAAGAAAATTTTATTTATTATCTATCATTTTAGCAAGTTAGCATGATAAAATCCAGTAAATTATCTAAAACAACAGCTCTAGAGTCAGAAGTCCTGTAATTAAAATTTGTACTAAAATTTATACCTCTGGAACTTACATATTTGTAAGATACAAACTGTTCAAATTTCCACTTATTTTTCTGTATAAAAGAATAATAATTATACTTTGTCCTACTTATTGTAGCTTTGGGAAACTAAAAAGAAAATGCATGCCACATTCTTTGCATTTTATCTGTTGAATAAGTCCACATAACTGCTATTTTTAGAAGAGCACAAATACTTCATTTGTCAATATGTGCATGGTGGTATTTAATTTGGTTTAAATATTGGCACTAACAGCATACATATATAGTTTTAAACCGGATGTGTTTATATGCTTATCTCTATAAGTACACTTTGCATTACATTTTTTTTGTTCATTTGCTTGGATTTAATTGTGTTCTTTAAATTTCATTTGTGGAAGAGAGTATTAGCAAAGCATTCTGCCCTAATAACAACAAACATTCCCTCAAGTCTCTAAATACATAAAACAAGCTTTGTTCCAACTCATGGTACAGGTCTGTGAAGGATCAGCAAAGGTTTACTGCTTACGTCCTTGTTCCAAGACCCAGGATAAAGCATCTCCAGCACTGTGAACCCTCAGGCCACAGGGGCAGAGGCGACAGCAAATCTTTCCATGCCTCCTGAAGCCTCTGCTCAGGAGTAACACACCTCATTTTTGCTCTCATTTTGGACTGAAGCCAAACTCAAGCTTAGAAGAACCTCAGAGATACGAAAAATATATCTGCAAGTCAAGAAGTGTGTAAAACTAACGTGTAGCCCCCTGAACCATTATGAGTTTCTTACCAGAATGTTAGTATGAGTGGAAAAGGTGGTCCGAATCTTATTCACGGGAGCAAAAATTAGGATGAATAACTTTAGAATGACATTGAGTCTAAAAGTTAAAACAATGACGTGAAATGATATCTATAGGTGATAAGGACTAGAAACCAAGAAATCACACAATTAACATAGAATTTAAGTGATCGTGTAAATGATTTCTACCTGCAAGACATAACAATCCTATCTATTAGCACCAGACAAAGCAAATCTAATTGAATGAAATAATACCTTCACCTGGCCCTGAGAAGCATGAGAAAATTCTCCAGGAGGCTTGCTTACTTGCTTGCTTGCTTGCTTGCTTTATTTATTTATTTTTATTTTTGGCCCCAGCCGTAATCTGATGAGGCACTCAGGCTTGAGAAGCGATGGGCCTTGTAATTGCTTTCTTCACTCATATAACCACAGCCGCAGTGCTCTTTCAAACACTGGAAAACTAACCTGTGAAAGTTTTCCTATTAGGTATGTGCTTCAAAACATCCAAAGCCAATAAGTCAGAAGATGCAGCTCTACACGAAAGCCCATGTCTCTGACCATCGGTCCAAGCACTGGACCGACGGTCATAAATTTCTGGTTCTCTTTCTAAATTCCTGGGAGACCACTCCTCAATCCCTACATGTCTCTGTATGGGAACTAGAAGAGTTTAGTGTTTATTTGTAAAGTACTTCTAGGGGCTTCAGTAAACATAAGACTTTTAAAAATCATAGATCTGTACAAGTATTCTATTTCCTCTTGGTAAAAAAATATTTTCAATAAACTCTAGTGCTTTCAAATGATAGCTACATAGTGACTCTTGAGAAAGATAGAAACCCAGTGTTTGAAGAATTCATTTAACCAGTTAGTATAAGAGTAATATATATATATATATATATATATATGTCTGAAATAAGTTTCTTTTACTTCTTCTATATAGTAACTATTTAGAAAAGAATGAAAAACATTGGTACATGTACAGAGTTAAAGTAATTTTCTATGGTTGAGAGGTATCCCATATGCAGTCTGCATTTTCCCATTATATAATCTGTCATTTTTAATCTCAAAATATATGAACATTTGTAAATTTTGTTCCATGTTTTTTGCTTTAAAATAATAAGCATATATTCTTATTTGTTTCTGTTCTTTTACTTCAACTGGTGACATATGTATTTGAGATTTTAACAACTGTACAGAAAATGAGTCCCTGAAATTAATGTTTTAGGATGTCAGACTTCACGTGTTTTATTTATCACTTTAAGGGAATAGCAAAAATCTCAGTACCTTAACTTTTCTAGAGCAAATATATCAAGAAAAAGATCATTCTATTTTGAGACAGAGTTATAGTCATATTCTTTCCCACCCAAGGTTTTCAGTTTGGAATAGAATTGTCTGTTAAATTATCAGAATAAAGTTCTGAAAAGATAAACTGATTTTTTAAACAAAAGAAAATATGGGTTAGTTTCTCCATGTGTATCCTTCTAGACATGGCTGGGCACAATGGATAAAGCTTTTAGTAAATCTGAAATAGTAGTATCTATTTTGTTAGTGTAGATTAAAAGGTAAATAACAGTAGCATGAGGCATACTAATTATTGATATTTTAATACTCAAAACTATCACAGGCTTACTCAGCACCATATTAGTAATGTAAATGAAGCAATGACATGCGGATTATTGGTTAAAGATGTGGCTAAACAAATATTCCTGAAAGTTAAATAATAATAATATAATAATAATAATAATAATCCTACTTATCTTCCTGTCCTTTGAACAGTCACTAGAGAAAATACTTATGGTACAACAGATCCTAGAGATTTGGTGAATTTTCTATATAATGAAAACTATAAATAATAAAAAAATGGAAAACAATAATGGAATGACAAAACACGCTGGAATTGGAATAATTATATATTTTTGGAGGGAATATAAGTTTTTTAACCACTCCAAAAGCAAGCTTACAACAGTCAAAAATTTGTACATGGAATTATCATATGACTCAGAAATTCCACTCATAGGAAAATGACAAAATTAAAACACGTACCCATCTTTATGTGAATGTTCATAGCAGCATTATTCATTATGACCCCAAAATAGAAAACAATCATATGTCTATCAACTGATGAATGGGTGAACAACTATGGTATACACATACTGTGGAATATTACCTAATCATAAAAAAGGAATAGGAAATGGATATGTGCCACAACATCAGTAAGCCTTAAAAACAATATACTCAATGAAAATACCTAGATACAAAAAAACTAAACATTTTATGATTCCATTTATATGAAATATACAGAATAGATAAGTACATAGACAGAATATAGACTACTGATTTCCAGGCATAGTGAAAAATAGAACAGGGGTGACTGCTATGGAGTTCAGGGTTTCTTTTAGGGCTAGTAAAAATTCTAGAATAAATGCATAGCTTTATAAATATGCTTAAAACATTGAGCTGTCTACCTTAAAAGGATAAATCTTATGCTATATGAATTATATCATATGTAAAAAGTATGTTTTTAAAAAAGAAAAATATAACAGAAAATTAAATTCCTGATCTAGAAAGTGCATCTCCTTTTTTTCTTGCTTGAACAAAATTTGTAATAATCTCAATTACATTTCATCTGCATGCACACTTGATATTAACTTTGCTATTCTCATAATAAAGGCATTTGTATTCCTCCTTATTTTGATAAATGAAAAAGAACAGAAATTTTGCCCCTCGGGGTGAATGCTTCCTTCTCTCTGAAAATGTGCACTGACATGATAATAAGTGCACACGCAATGCCGCATGCCGTCTGAAACAACTGAGTTTAGTTACGGCTAGCTGTTTATAGGATGCTTTTTCAAAGGACAACAATTTCCACCAAATAATGGTATTGGGTTTCATGAATGTCAGTGAACAATTATATGTATTCATCCAGAAAGCTTTACGCAAACAGCCAATCTGTACTTTTTTGTGTTGAAAAATGTAATACGTAAATGAGAACTGAAGTGAAATTGAACAGACCTCAAAGCCAGAGAAGAGTGACAGAGTAATTGTGTGTGTGTGTGTGAGAGAGAGAGAGAGAGAGAAAGAGAGAGAGTGAGAGAATGAGAGAGTGAGAGTGAGAGAGGGAGTGAGACAGAGAGACAGAGAGACAGAGACAGAGGCAGAGACAGAGCGAGAGAATCTTTCTACACGCACTGTAGCTCTTTAGCCATTCTGAAAGACTAATCTACCCTCTTTCAGGGAATGCAGCCCTCTTTTAAATAAGACACACGCCTTCTACTCAATGCACTTGAAGCCCTAAATCCCCAGGTCAGGAAGCGGGGAGCCACCCCAAGAAATCGCACTCACCCCTTCCTGAGCAAGGCAGGGCTGAGCTGCCCTGGCACTTCTTCAAGCTTTCTTCAGGGGCCAGCAGGCAGGACCGGGGGTGTTCACACTTCTTCCCGTACCAGCCTGCTTTGCAGTCACATCTTCCACAGTTACACTGCCCGTGACCTTCACAGCAGAGTGAGAAAGAATGAAGTGTGCATGAGCACAGTGCCAGAATTAGTCTCCAGTTTCATTCTAACAGCGAATATCAAAAATATGTCAAGATCTTAATGAACCCAATATAAAACATTAAAACAAAGGAACATTCTTCTCATATTATTAAAATTATATTAATTGTTCATGGGAGCAAAAAACAAATTCAGATAAGATCAATAGTTAAGTTGGGTTATTAACCCAAATCTGTCAAAATTCTAGATAAATATTATTTTATTGGTCCACTGGGAGCTAGAAGAACTATCTGATGGATTTGGCAATTAATTTCATGTGGAGGAAAGCTATAGGAAATGGTAAACAGCTTATTTTTGAAGCAGGATTTTATGTTATTTCTAATGAATAATTTAACTGATCTTTATTTATGGGGATCCCACAGTAGAAAAATTAGGGGCCACAAACAACAAGCAATGAAGTCTAGAATTTGGGAGAGGTGGATCTTTTTTGCTCTAGCATTCTTGAGCTATAATTAACATATAAAATTGTGTATAATTAAATCCTACCCAACATGATGCTTTGAAATACATGTACACAATTGTGAAATGATTATCACTATAAGTAAATTAACATATCATTCACTCATGCGGTTATCTGTGTGTGTGTGGGTAAAGTTCTCTAAGGTCTACTCTCACAGATTTCAAGGATCCAACACACTTATAATGCAGTTCGGGGCTGGGGATTTAGCTCAGCAGCACAGTGCCTACCTGCAAGCGCAAGGTCATGAGTTTGATTCCTGATACCAAAAAAAAAAAAAAAGAAAAAGAAAAAGAAATTGCAGTGACCATGCAGTAGTTAGGTCTCCAGACCTTCTACATGTTACAGCGTTGAACATTTGTAGGCTTTAAGCAACATCTTTACACTCCACACCCAGCCTTTGGTAACCCCCTTCTACTTTCTAGGATTTCAACATTTTCAGGTTCTGCGTAGTACTTATAAGTAAGATTTTGCAGTACTTGGCATCCCGTGTCTGGCTTATTTCATGTAACCCGATGTCCCCTAAGTTCACTCATGTCTGGGAAACACCAGGACATCCTTTTCTGAGGATGAGTAGTATTCATTTGTGTAAATGTACCAGGCTTTTCTATGCATTCATCTGCCAACAGACACTTCAGTTGTTTCCATATTTTTGAATATTATGAAAAACCTTTTAAGGAGTACAGTTATCTCCTTGAGATAGTGATTATTTTCTTTGGATAGATACCTCCAAAAATTCTAGACCATATGGCTGTTCTATTTTAATTTTTGGAGCTACATTTATAATGTTTTCCATAAATAGTTATATCATTTTACATTTACAACAATGTGTAAGGATTCCTTTTTCACCATAACCTTGCTGACACAAATTTTTGACATGATCTATCCTAGCAGGTGTGATATTTCATCTTGGCTTTGATTTGGATTTGATTTAAAACTAGAGACTGTGTGGAGTTCATAACACTAGAAACCAACCTTGCATGCATAAAAGAGGTCAGGAATGATATTAGATTTCCAACTCCCCATGATGACTATAATCATTACTCTAAACATGTACTAATAAAAACTTTTTAAAATAATAAATTGGTTTCAAAAAGAAATATAAACCATAACAAAGAGATTAAATTGCTTGGCCCATAGATACAGAGTTTGTAAAGACCTGCGGTGAGTAGTGGTAGGCTCTATCAAAAGCCATCCTGCGTTACTAATCATATAGGAGCTTCAGCTCCTGGTTCTGCTGCTTATGGAACGGGGCTCGTCAAAGGGCAGCCTCTTTGATGTGCAGTTTCTTCCTTTTTCACACAGGAAAATAATATACTATCTGTCCACATTTATTCAGAACTACATTATAGATCTTAAAATGTTACATAAAAAATGAGCTACTGATATTTTTATTCATTTGAGCCCACGCATGCAACCAAGTAGAGGAAAACATGATAATTTCAACTGAGCTTTTCACAACTCTCAATAAACATCCAGCTATTCATCATTATGTACCCAGAACAAAGTAGATTTCTATAATTGCTGCAAAAATGTGTGAAGAATTGTAAAGGAATTGGAATGGCGCTTTAAAAAATATATTGGGAACAATGGTAATACGGAAAAGCCATGCTAGTTTGTGTTTGGCATCTGACTTAACATACGTTATGCAATATACAAGTTGGCCTTCAGGGAAGAGTGGCCCCTTTTGTCTGTGTTTTCTGAGACTGTGGGGACCACCTTCTGTTTGTAGAAATTGAAAAATTCCCATCTGCAGATGATTTCCCCATCTATTAATATGGCTCTCTACAGGGAAAAGCATAAAATCACTGGTTAAAGTGGGGTGCCAGAATATGGGTCACTGAATGCAAATCTCTCATTAAATATTAAATTCATTTCAGGAACTATTTATTGAACACTTACTGTGCAACAATTATTCAACCAGTGGAGCTCATCGTCTTAAAGAAAGTGATTGCCAACAATTGCCTATGACGTAGCAATATAATCATTTAGATCTTCCAATTATAAGATTTTTCCTGTATTTGTTCACACTTAGTACCAATTCTATGTCATAGGTTTTCTGGGCCCATGGCTTATTGCCATTTATCATGGCATAGGAAGTCCTGTGCTTCTCCCCGCCCTCAAGGAAACTGGCACAAACTTTGCAAACAGAGCCCCACTGAGGATTCACACATAAATAATACTTTTTTAAAGCTGAAACCCGGGGCTGGGGATTTAGCTCAGCGGCAAAAGCGCCTGCCTGGCAAGCGCAAGGTCGTGAGTTCGGTTCCCGGTACCGGAGAAAAAACCAAA